CAGTCGGGGCGCTGAAGAAGAAACTCTTTTCGTTGGGGAGGGGCTCGTTGTTCCTTGATTGTTGTACAGTTTGCCTTTGGTTGTCTTTTCGCTATCCATGGGAAATCAAGAATTAACTTATGGGAATAAGGGGCCTCGTTCCTTATTTAGGGTTCCTTAGGTCAACGCCCCGACTGTATTCATCCCGATCGTTCAAGGTTGAACGATCCGCTCGGCGTCAGAAGCCAACGCCCTCGAGATCGGCACGCGCACCAGCCGTACCGAATTCGTACCCGCGGGAGAGGGCTCGGGGCCCCGCTCTTGGACGCCCCGCTCGGGGCGGCGGCGGCGGCGGCGGCCTCGTCGTCGTCGTCGTTGTCGTCGTTGTCGTTGTCGTCGTCTTGTTCGTCGTTCTGCCGTGCTTTGGCGTTCCCCTCCTCTGTCGTGATTTGTTCTGTGTCCCGCACCTCCACTGCACGTCCGTGCTCTTCGCGCGTGCGAAGGCCAAGGGGCCATGGCCTTTCCAGCCTGGTCTTGGCTAGGCGTAAGCCGGGCGTGTCCTTCAAAAATGGGAGGAATGTTCAAACATAGTCAGAAAATAGTATGGGGACGATTTTTTATTGTTTTGACTAGTTTTGATTATGTTTGAGTATTTCGAACCTTTCATCCAAAATCCGCCTCTGGGACAGGCCCGACTTAAGCCTGGTTTTGGCTAGGCCCGAACCTCTGCCCGTGGTGCGCGTTAGCAAATCATGGGAGCCTGTCGTACCCTATAGGTTCCGGGTCTTTCGCGTCGACTAGCGTCTGGACGTCGACGACCTAGCGGCCGATTTAGCGTCGGCATGCGTCCATTAGCGTCGATGTAGCTTCGATGAGCGTCGACTCGCGTCGATTTGGCGTCGACATTGGCGTCGACATTGGAGCCGTTATGCGTCGAGTAGCGTCGATTCGCAAGAGCCGACAAGATGGGATGGGAGGCCCTGACGAGTTGCCACCGAAGTTGTGGCGGTTCGCTCGCCTCCCCCCCCTCCCCTGCGCCCGCGGAGGTCTTCGTGGAGTGCGGCTGCCGGCACGTGGTCTCCCTCCACACCGGCGTGTCCGACGCCACGGCCCGGAGGCCGCCACCCGACTTCTTTCTCTCTCTCTCTCTCTCGGGGGCGGCCAGGAGGGGGGTGATGACCAGGGGGGGAGGACATCATGGCGGGGGCCACGATGTCTCCCCAGATTTCATGGCGCCTCTCTTCATTTCAGTACGTCCCTGCCCCCCTCCTGGGGCCGCGGAAACACCGCCGGCCACGATTTGCAACCCCCCCTCTTGGACGCCCCCCTCTTGGACGCCCGGGTTCTCTCTCGGGCGCAGTGCCAGTCGAATAGGAGATCAGCAATTGATGTGCCCCAGACTTGTTATTGTCTCCACAAGTCTACAAACACATGCGTGTAATGCTTCGCAGGTCTACGCACATGCTACGCATTTTTCGAAGATCCGACGGACGATTCTTACTCGTGTTGTAAATCAATTCTGCAGTCGATCTCATTTTCGATCTCTCCGGCGTTGCGTCATGAGGGGGCGCAGGGCAAGACAAGCTGCTACCCAGGCCTCGTTTTCGCTATTTTGGGGGGGGCTTCGTGGGAGGCCCTCGCCGCCACGGCTGAGTTCGCCTCCAGATTCTGGTCAGAACGGGCCCTTGGTGACGTCTGGGGAGTAGATGCGGGCAAAGGGGTGGTAGGGAAGTAGCGGTAGGTAGGGGTCCCGACACAGGGGGCGCCGTGGCCACAGGGGGGGAAGGGTGGTGGGGGTCAGATTTTCGAGTCTTAGCGGGTGGTCCAACCCCCCCTTTGAAAAAAAAGTGGCAGTCCAGGGGTGTGTGGCTCTGGGACGACTGATCGCGAAGGGGGGGGAGGTCCCTGGACGGGGGAACTGGAGAAGTTGGGGGAAGGGGGGGGGCTGGGACCCCCCCTGTCTGGGGCATCCAGCGGCGCTCCCTTCAAAAGGGGCCATCCGTGATTACGTTCAGCAACATCTGACGTAAGGTATCGTTCCGTTTTCATTGGATTTGCGTTTTTTCGGGCGTGTTGTTTGGTTCCAGACAACGTGATTGCGATGCCAGGCCCGGGTCCTACGATGCGTTCCAAACGGGCGGCCGTGCTGTTGTTGCTTCTCCTTATTATTATGCCTGTGCCCCTCCTTCCAGCGCGCATATTATGGCGGTGCGCAAAGTATGCGTCTCTCTCTCTCTCTCACTCTCTCTCTCTCTCTCTTTCTGTCTCTCTCTGGCATGTTTTGCCCATTGCTCATCAACTGCGTACTGCTGCTAATCGATTCTTCCTCCTTCGTGATTTCCTTCTTGTCCTTTGCCACTTTCCAGCAGCAGGGACAAGAGGACTCTGGACACGGGGGGCCTTCCCTACACCCCCAGGCCCTCCGCCGTCCCCCCCCTTTCCTCCTCCCGCGCCACCCTGCTCGACCCCTTTCCCCCCCCCCTCCCTCGCCTCTCCCTCGGCTCCCCCTCTCCCTCGCCCGCCCCCCCCCCATTCCTGCTTCTTGGCCCCCTTGGCCCTTCCCTCCCCGCCCCCCCTGCCCCTCGACTCCGCCCGCCCCTCTGCCCCTCCGTCCCCCCCTGCCCCTCGACTCCGCCCGCCCCCTGCCCCTCCGTTTCCCCTCGACTGCGCCCTCCCCGCCCTCGCCCCGCGCCCTGCTCTCTCGGAGCACCCGCGGGGCGACACCGAGTCGCCCGGGGGCCGTGCGCACGCCTCCTGTGCAGCGGCGCCCGGGCGCTGAGATCGAGCAGGTTTTGCACGCCCGAGATCTTCAGGCCTCCCAGTTTCAGGGGCGCAAGGAACGCCCCGACCCTGGTTTACGAAGCGCTGGGCGCTGAACCTCCTGTGGGCTGACAGGACAAGCCCTGCGTGGTGTGCGGCGTCCTGGCGGCGATAGGTGGGGTCCGGGTAGATGGGGTCGGAGGATCGCGCCGCATCGCCGATGCATCAACGATGCCCAACAACGAATGCTGTCCCAAACCAAACCGACAGCGGCGTCCGTTGGCCAGGCGGCCTTCTGCCTCGATGGGCAACGTCCGCGGCGACAGCGGCAGCGAGTCATGTCCAAGGTAAACAGGGATTACTGTCATTCTTTGTGTTTATTCGTTCCGTACCCGTTTCGATCGTCCCGAGTGGCGAGGCTCCCTGACCTGCCCATACGTCGTGGCCGTTTCTTCACTTTGCTGGATGGGCTTCTCATAGCGGGGTGCGTTCAGAACAGGAGCGCAGCAAATCCACAAGTGAGCGTGGCATTGACAGTGCAGCTGCTGCCATGTGTCAAGTGCTCCAGCGAGCAACAGTACAGCAAAGCCCCAGAGCAGCGAGGCATTGCCAGTGTGCCCCAGCGTCAACACAGTGGCCGGGGAACAGCCCGCGACATGTCCACGAGCGTTGCACCACCCTGGCTGGTGTGGACAGAGGACGCGTTGACTATAGTGCTAAACGGTTGGGGCGTTCGTTAAGGAATGTGCCCTGGAGAAGGCTTCAGACCCTGGGGGGTCCTTATTTGGCGAGGTCGGCAGTAATCTCCATGGCCAATCCTGAACTGGAGCTCCACCAGCTTTCAGACCATGGGTTACTTATCCAAGGGTCCCTGATCCAATGCACTCACCAAAGAGGGTCCTGAGAACCGCATTGTGGGTTGTACAACGTGTGCTTAGAACATGTTTCTGGCTGGGGGGCAGAACTGGTTTACTGCGCCTGCTTCATTCTGGGAACAAGTAACGACATTAATATAACAACGGATTTCCGCGCAGATTCCTCGGATCTGTGCGGGACCCCCCTGCCCTGGCGTGCAGAGCGCGCCAGGGGCATCTCCAGAGGCGCTGCCAGCGAGCTCAGCGCCGATCCGAAGAATCCGCGCGGACCTCTGAAATTTAATGTTTATGGCATCGACTGTGCCCCTAGTAGTGTAGGATCATGCCGTGGTGCCCTGAGTATGATTGCGCCTGCCTCATGTCCTACAGTAAGATCAAGTCGTGATAGGCCCCCAGGCATGCCTTGCGGGCACGGCTACAGAGCTTCCGTGCACCCCTCGCCTGCCATGGCGGCACGCAACAAAACTCGAAGAAGGAATCGCGGCGTGAAACAGTATATGTCTTCCAGTAGGGGGCCGAACAATGCCATCAGCACACAGACGCGGAGGTCCGCTCGGAGTTCTCGCATCGGCGCAGGACCCCCCATGGCGGCGCCTCCGGCGCCGCCCCTGTCGCGCTCTGCGCCGATCCGAGAGATCCGCGCGGGCATCAGTTTCTCTTTCGGTTTATGTCACTGCTCGCTCCCTTGTGGAAGCACGTTTTTGCTTCAAGAGCTCCGCTGGGGCTTCTTGGGTCGGCGCCGGACCCCCCTCCCAGGCTGGCGGGGCCGCGCAGCTTGCGAGTGGGCCACAGCCGAGGCCCTCGAGGTCCCGGGTTGCGGGCAGACGGGCGACGTCGTGGATCTGGGTTCGTTAAGACGAGGAAGCCATTGCGTCGCCATGCGCTTCCAAATGTTCTACACCCTAGGCGATGCTTAAGAAAACTTATGTTTTCGTCCAGAGTCTCGATTATTCTTAACTTTCCAATGTAAATCCCAAGATTTTGATAGAAGTTCTGGGTTTTATTCAATTTATGAGACTATGAATTTCTTAACCCATGATTTCTTAAGCATGTCAAATGGTCTACGCGGATTTCTTGAGCTGGCGCTGGACCTGCCCTCCCCGAGGCGCTTCGCGCGCCACAGGCGACGCGCAACGCGAGAGGTTCCGCCAAGGAGGGTTCAGCGCTGATGCAAGGTCCGAACGGACCTCCGGAAAGTTAGATTTGTAAAGTCGCTTGCACCTCTTGCCCCATCCAGGAAGTCCCCCGCCGTCTCAGACGATCCACCCCCCCCCCCCTTGCCCTGCCCCCTTTCAGGTCGCCTTCTGCCCCCCTCAGGCCTCCTATGGCTCAAGCCTCAATGAGGCCTGGATCACAAGCGTACGGCCCTAACGAACATCCCTTTTCATGCCCACCGTCTACACCCTGGGGCTAACCGTTGTGGCCACCCTTGCACATCTCCGCGGCGCCGCTGCCCTCGTGGCCTCCCTCGGGGGCGCTCAGCCCTTCGGCCCGCAGGGCGCAGGGGAGGCGCCGGAGTGGCTCCTGGAGCCGTGGGAGCTGGCCGCGAGGGACAGGCGACGGGCCCAGGGGCTCGCCGACGGGAGCCCCGAGGGGTCGCCGCTGGAGCCGAAGGTGATGGGCCGATTTCCCACCACCACTACCATAGGTAGGAGAGGGAGGAGGAGGAGGAGGAGGAGGAAGAGGAGGAGGAGGAGGAGGAGGAGGAGTCGGAGGAGGAGGAGGAGGAGGACCATTGTAGACGCAAGAGTCATCAAAGATGTTGGAATAAACCCTCCCTCCAAGCTCCCTCTGCATAGGCCCCTATAGCGGTTCATTTCCATTGAGGGAACTGCCTCATTGGAAGACAATCGTTTGAAGATCCTGAAGCATGCCACAATGTTGTTCTCTTCGGGATGTCAACCCTACGGATCAACCTGACTGCTGCGTCTTGACGATCCAGAACCGTGCCAAAACGGCACTTTTGGGATTTCAGCAGCGAATCAACAAAACGATTGCGCCCGCAAATTCTTGAGTCTTTCATCACACCATTCCTGGTACGCTGATCATGGTAATCCGTGAAACTCTTTCAAATCTTATGAACGAATGTGCGCGGTGCTGAGGCGAGAGCCACATTTTGAAAACGACACTTTTTCAATCCGTGGAACTCTTGCAAATGCTGGCGCTAAAGCGAGAGCCACATGTTGAGAACGACCCGCCCTCAATCCGTGAACTTCTTGCAAATGTTTACAACGAGTGTTCGCGGCGCTAAGGCGAGAGCCGCATTTTGAAAACGACCCGCCCTCAATCCGTGAACCTCTTGCAAATGTTTACAACGAGTGTGTTCGGCGCTAAGGCGAGAGCCACATTTTGAAAACGACCCGCCCTCAATCCGTGAATTTCGTGCACATGTTTACAACGAATGTGCGCGGCGCTAAGGCGAGAGCCACATTTTGAAAACGACCCGCCCTCCATCTGTGAAGCTGTTGTCACCTAAAAAGCTTCAGACTCATAAATGGTAAGGCCGTCTCAGGCGAAACGCCCGTCCCGCCCCAAAAACTGGCCTCCGGGTACGACAGGGAGAAGTTACTTATACGGAAGAAGAAAGGAGGAGGAGGAGGAGGAGGAGGAGGAGGAGGAGGAGGAGGAAGAGGAAGAGTGGGAGGAGGAGGAGGAGGAGGAGGAGGAGAAGGAGGAGAAGGAGGAGGAGGAGGAGGAGGACCTCCCCATCCTCGCTTCTCCCCCGTTCTGCCTATGGCAGCGGTGGTGGGCCTTCGGCCCTTCAGGAGGTGCTCGCCCTGGGAGCCCGGGGGGAGCACGTGGCCGAGGGCGCGGGCCTCGCTCCGCGCGGGCACGCCGGGCCCCGGGGCGAGGGCGGGCTCTTCGCACCGAACGAGAGCATCCTGAGCTTCGAGCAGCCGGGCCAGTGCTTCGCCTTTCCGATCGCGGACAGATACCAGCCTCGAACTTATCCCCATCCCTAAGATTGACACGCCAAAAGGCGATGAGAATCCTAGGGATTCGCCCTCAATAATAAGGGAATCCCTAAGATTGGCATCGTGATGAGGAGATGCCCAGCATAGGGATAGGGATATGTTCCAGGCTGGTAAGACAGAGGGAGGAGGGAGGAGGAAGGAGGAGGAGGAAGAGGAGGACGAGGAGAAGGATGGAAGGACGAAGGAAGAAGGGAGGAGGGGGAGTCTCCGCAGCGCGGCGAACATCAGAGCTTGAACATGGCCTGCTCCGGAAAATGGTGCTCGTGACCCCATGCGCGTGATTCGGTTGCATGTCATGGGGGCCTGGTCTACTTCCTTAGCTCCATCTCTGTGGCGTCGATGAACGTCTGGGAGTCGACGAGATAGCGCCGATTCAGCGTCGGCTAGCATCGATCCGCGCCGATTCAGCGTCGACTGGCGCCCCTGTGCGTCGGTTCGCAGAAGCCGACACATGGGACGGGAGGCTCCCAGGAGTTGCCACCGAAGGCTGCGCGTACGAGTGGCCCTTCGCCGGAGCGACCTGTTGGTGCGGGCCCGCCGGGACCTGGCCTGCGCGCTCTCGGATGTGGCCGCCCGCGGCCCCCGCCGAAAGCCGAGCACCCCAGAGGTGGCTCTTGCCAGAGGTCACCTCTCCTCCTCCTCCTCCTCCTCCTCCGCCTCCTCCTCCCCCTCCTCATCCTCCCCCTCCTCCTCCTCCTCCTCCTTGTCCTCCTCCTCCTTCTCCTCCTCCTCTTGCGTGTTGCCGAGGACACGTATCTGCGGAACTGGGAGCGGATCGACGCGGATGTGGGGAGGGGCAGGCAGCAGGCGCGGTCGATGAGCGTTATTTTCGCGGGCCTCGTCCGCAACGCAGAGAGCTCCGTGCGGGAGAGCTACAAGATGTTGAAGCGTATCGCCGAACAGTTCCAAGATTACAGGTTTCTCTTGTTCGAGAACGACTCCTCGGACAAGACCGTCCAGGCCATGGCACTCATAGCAGCCATGGATCCACGGTACCAGTTTCGAACCAAGCGGTTGTTGATGGGCGACGAGAGAGGGCTGGAGCGGTCTCGAATGGAGCGGATGGCCACTCTGCGGAACGCCGTGCACGATTGGGTGCGAGAGGTCGTCCTCCAGACCCATCGCGGCGCAGCCAAGGCCACGGGCACAGTGAGGCTTGTCCCCTCCCCAGGGGAGCGAGCGGATCAGGGCAAGGGAAGGAGGTGGAGGAGGGGGGTGAGGGGGGTGAGGAGGAGGGGGAGGAGGAGGAGGAGGAGGAGGAGGAGGAGGAGGAGTAGGAGGAGAAGGAAGAGGAGGAGGAGGAGGTGGGGAATGGGTGCGGGGCGGTGGAGGGTGGGCCATCCCGTGGGCGGTTTCGTCTGCGGTACGGCTGCACGGCCTCGTCCCTGGGGGACCGGCCGAGGGAGCTGCTCCAGGAAGGCGGGTGTCGCGCGGGGCAGCTTGCGGTCGAAGAGTCCCACGCTTGCACGATGCATTATCCAGAAGTATAGTTGGACGGTGTAAGTGGAGTGAGGGAGGAAATGAGGGATGATGAGGAGGCGGAGGAGGAGAGCAACGGCGAAACGTAAGACTCGAGTTCGCCAGAACTCCAGCTTGCAGACCTTTCGTTGGCACGCGCGTCCTGGATATTGATGGTCCAGTTATCGCGGGATTGTTTGCAGCGGGAGCCCGCCTAAGATTTCAGATAGGGTCTCGTCATTATCTTGACGGCCTGTCAGGCCAACCTTAGCCCCAGAACCCGAGTCTTGCGGAGAGGAAAGGGGGAGGATGTGGAGGGGAGGCGATGGAGAAGGATGGGTTGGAGGGGCAGAAGAAGGAGGGATGTGGAGGAGAGGAAGGAGGGAACAGGGAACCTGGGAGGCAGGCGTGGGAGGACAGGGTGGGCACGAGCGGGAGAGTGGAATATATGGCCCAGTCTCAATACCCTTGTGGCTTTGCAGCTGCCTCGTCCATCGGTGGGATCTAATTGTGCTTTACGACTTCGACTTGAATCAGTTTGGGCCGAACGTCCTCTCGCCTCACGCGTTTTTCGGTGCGCTGGGCCGTCAGGAAACTACGGAGAATGGTTGGGACATGCTCTGTGCGAATAGCATTCGTCATCTTGGGGGACAATCCACCGCGGGCGTTGGCATGTACGACTGTTTTGCTTATCGTGACTTACACAATGACTCCTTCAACGCGCCCGATTGCGGGTACACGTTGTCGACTGTTCTGTTTTCTCAATACCAACTCATCCCTGTGCACTCGTGCTTTGGCGGGCTGGCAATGTACAAGCCGGACAAGTTTTTGGAGTGCCGCTACGACCCCAGCGTTTACGATTGTGAGCATGTTGTGTTTCACCAGTGCATGCGCCAGAAAGGAAGCAACGGCCGTATGTTCATGGACCCGCTGCTGACGACGAATTACGACACCTGGACCCAGCTCGGCTGCTACTCGGACGCTGCGAACGCCAAGGCGCTCTACAAGCATGACGAAGCACTGTTGCCGAGCGCGCAAAAGGACGACGACCGGGCCCAGGCGTATCCCAAGAAGGCTCGTTGCCACGAGCTTCTCGCGGACTCCGAGGGCCGAGAAAAAGCGGCAGGAGTATGACACTCGCGGAGGCCCGCGCGGATCCTTTGGAACGGCAGTGGGCCGCCCCCCTTTCGCGTGCCGTGGAGGGCCGCGTGAGTGGGGCTGGAGGTGCGGGCTGTGAGTCCAGGTGTGAGGGGGTCCAGTGTTGACCGACTCGGCGGCGAGCGAGGGGGGGAAGTGAGAAGGGGCGGGCCTCCTCAGAAGGCTCGGAAATGCCCCCGACGTTGAGAGAAGTTTTCGAAGCTTTCCCCGAAGACTGCAAAGACCTCGCAGACGGCACGAGGGCTTCTGAGAAGTCCCGCCGCCTGCTGAGAATCCTTTTCCCTTTCACTTCCCCCCCCCTCGCTCGCCGCCGACTTGCGCAAGCCGTGCGCGCCTCCGAGGACGGCAGGGCTTCGGGTTGCGCGCTGGCAGCGCCCCCTGGAAGCCGCGGCTGGTGTCAGCAGGCCCCCCGAGCAGTCCGGTGCGGTCTCTGCCAGGGCGTCGAGACTGGCCCCGACGATTTCGAGGGCCTGCTGACGCCAGACTCGACCAAGTAGGGGGGCTGACGAAGCGCAACCCCGAAGCCTTCCCATGTGGGGACTGGTTTCCAGCGCCGACCCACGAAATCCGTGGGTACCTCCGAAGATTCAGTGTGTGTGAGTCCTTTCTGGCTTCCCAGGACTCAGCGAGGGGAGACGACGTCTGCGACGAGCAGCGCGCGACCACCAGCACCGTCGCCAAGAACGTGCTGCAGTGCATGAGCTTCTGCACAGGCCCCCGCCGGGCCAGATAACGCCTCGGGGCATTCAGCAAGAGAGCTGCGCAGCGTGGCGAAAGCATGAGGGGGACGCGTCCCTCCTCGTCATCCACCGGGAGGAAGAGGGGAAGGAGGCGGAGGAGGAGGAGGAGGAGGGGGAGAATGACAAGCTAGGTGCGCTCGCGTCATATCTGACATCCTACCCATCTCTCCCATCCCTTACCATGGCGTATATCCCCTCTCTACTCGCACAGTCGGATGTCGAGCAGGGCAATGATCCCGAAAGGGTACGCGGTGCATTGTAGAGTACGGCATGGCATGGCGTAGAAGAGCCCCGCAAAGCGTAGTATGTCACAGCATGGCGTGGCGTGGCGTAGTGAAGAATTGCAACACAAAGCTTTGCAACGCAAAGCATGGCATCGCACAGCGGCCCCGAACATAACATTGCATAGCATGGCGTTGAAGATCAAAGCATAGCATGGCGTAGCACGACGTGGCACTTAAGCACTGTATATCACAGCTTCAGCTGAAGGCATGGCATCGCGCAGCGGAGCGCAACCTAGCATTGTATCGCATGCCGTGGCATGGCACGGGGAATGACGCCAGCGCTGCAGCGGGAGCACGATTCGGAACGAGCGGAAGCGCGGAAATGAGGCCAGCGCTGCAGCGGGAGCACGATTCGGAACGAGCGGCAGTACGGAAATGAGGCCAGCGCTGCAGCGGGAGCACGATTCGGAACGAGCTGGGCCCGAAAATGAGGTTGGCGCCTCAGCGAGAGCAGCATTTTGAAAAACAAATGCACGCGAAAACCCAACTCCGTGGAATCCTGCGTGTAAAGAACAGTACGCGGGGGGGGCGAACACTCCCAACCCGTCATCAGGGGAAGGAGGAGAGTAGTATTCATATTGAGTAATTGTGGAGGAGGAGGAGGAGGAAGAGGAAGAGGAAGAGGATGGGGAGGATGAGGCAGATTCGGAGGAGGTTCCGAGCATCGATGGTTCGTATTTCTGTAGACATGTCTCGCCGTCTCTGTGTTCTTCAAGAGGGCTCTCGTCGCCACCGCTAGACTCACCTCCAACTTCGTGCCGCAACACAACTCCTAGAGGGGCCTTGAGATGCTGCAGGGGGAGATGTGGGAGACGAGAAAGGGGAAAGTATGATGGCACATGTTATGATCACGAAGAGGAGGAGGGAGAAGGGGGGAAAGGCGATGAAGATGATGAGGGCAGGTCAGGGAACGGGTAGGGATAGCGATGGCGAGGGGCGGCTTATGTCGGCGGAGGCTCCAAATTTGTCCAGTGGGCCGACCCGAAAGTCTTGGCGGATGGCGCCTTCTGCCGTTGCTACGAAGAGAACCAGTGCGAGATGACTCGGGCAGCAGCCAGCTTGGACTCGCGCACCAGGGTGTACAAATGCTACGACACGTGAGCCCGCTGGCAACATCCGGAAAACGAGGAGGAAGAGTAGGAAGAAGATACGAGGGGCCTCTTGGCGCCCTCCTGGGAGACCCTGCCGGGCGAAGAGAGCTACGCACACGCACATGCCAAAATCTGTGAATGTGCACAGGTCTCTTTCTTCTGCCTGGGGAGTCCGTTTGGGCTCGTTCCTTGGTTGTGTTATGCGTGAGGTTTTTAGTACGCATGCGTGTTTACCTTCTTTCTGGTTGCGTCTTTTACTGCTCATCCGTGGTCGCTAATGGACGCAGGTCGGCGCATTGGGGCTGGAGCTCATTGGGGTCGGAGTAACGCGCCGCATCGCCGCCGCGAGCTTGCAGTGCCCCTGCCGTCCGCTCGGAGTTTCTCTTGTCCAGAAGCGCCGAGCGCCGACTGTCGCCGCACCCCCGCCTCTGCCAGGCAGTTCTCATCCTCATCATCACCATCATCTTCGTTACCACCATCGCCATCATCATCATGATCAGCATCATTCTCATCATGGTCATTGTCCTCTTCACCATCTGCATCATAATGATCATGGTCATCATCATCATCATCATCATCATCATCATCATCATCATCATCATCATCGTCATCATCATCACTGCCATCATCATCAGCACCATCACCAGTCATGACCATCACCAGCACACTGCCTGTGTGCTTGCACCTCTTTCTACGAACGCACTGGCAAATCTTAACGTGCCCCAGGAAGCCTCGCAAATGATCACCATTGCCGTCACCGCTGGGTCGTTATCACCCGAACAAGCGTATGTTATGTGCGTGTCGCCCCCCCTTCCCCGGGGCGACGCGAGCGCTCAGAGGTCTTACATGTTCTGTTTGTTGGCGGGAGCTTTCTGACGATACCGCCGGGTGACGATCTCTCTCTCTCTATCTCTCTTTCTCTCTCCCTCTCTCTCCCTCTCTCTCTCTCTCCATTTCTCCCTCTAAAAGTTTCATCTCTCTACATATATATAGAGACAGATGGAGTTGAATGCTTTTGTTCTATATCCTCGCTTCGGACGTGCGCCTTCAAGGGGGGCGCATAGTAATCCTTCTGCGTCCCATTGACACCCGCCGCTGCGCTGGTCGAGCAGAGAGGCCTTACCAGGGCCGCCTACGAACCGACTCGATTCGCCAGCTGGGGCCGCGAGTCCAAGTCGGTTCGACTCAGCTCCGTTCGCCGGCATTTGCCAGGGCCGGAAGCCGGAGCAGAGCGCAGCGATCCGATCTCGATTCGATTCGGGACACTTCGCTGGCGATGCGATCCGTTGCCGATCCGATCCGATTTCGAGGTTCGATCCGGCCCAGACTTCGATTTCGAGGTTCGATCCGACCCGATTTCGAGGTTCGATCCGATTTCGAGGTTCGATCCGATTTCGAGGTTTCGAGGTTACGCCCCCACCCCCTTCAGCCAGAGCCCGCCGGCGCTCTGCGCTGGTGGCTGAGCCCCAGCAGCGCCTCACGGGGCCAAGATGGTGTCTCGAGGGACGGGGCCCTGCGGACGATGGGGCCGCCAGCAGTGCAAGGCCAATCCGGGACCCCTTCCTATCCTGCTCGGCGGTGGGCCTGGGGGGGATGCAGCGTGTGCACTGTTCCTGGAATCAGGAAATGCCTCACCATGATGGGTGTTTGTGCTGAGCTTCGTTTTGCCGCTTCCTATCCCCACGGGTGTGGCCTGGGCCCCAATGGCCGACCTACCCCCCTGGATGAGGGTATCGCCTGTTTCCTGCGGGTTTCGAAGGCATATCCCCAACTGGGTTGCCGAGCTGGCGGGGAGGGAGCGGGCCTTCTCCGAAGGCTCTGAGGGCCTCGGGCCTCCCGAGAAGTCCCCTGAGACGTCTCAGAGGACAGTGGCGGCCTCTCAGGAGGCCAGAGGGTTTCTGAGATCCTCCGCCGCCAGCTGCGGGGACTTGCCCCTTCTCGCTTCCCCCTCGAGCGCGCCTTCCCCGCCTCAGGGCCCCATCCCATCCCTGCACCTGCAAGCAATCAAGCCATCGCCATCGCGACGCCGCACGCCAGAAAGTCTTGACCATCTTGAGGAGCTCAAATGACACACGAAACCAAACAGTGCACGGGGAACGAACGTCCGGGCGATGGGAAGACCGCTGACATCCGTCACGCGCGGGCGGAGCGGAGAGCCCGCTGATTTCACTCCCTTCGGGCAAAGCCCGCCGGCGCGGCGCCCTGGTGGCCGAGCCCAAATCGTGAATGGCAACGTTTGGTGGAGGCACGCTCAGGGGGCTCTCGACGGCTTCGGGCGCGCAGGCTTTCGGACGTGTGCGTTGGACCTCGGTGGCTGTCCAGCCTCGGAGTGCCTCCCAGCAGCTGCGCCTCGCCGAGGGCCTCGCAGGGGTGCCCGCTTCGCCCCGAGCGGCCGCTGGGGAGCCGAGCCATGGCCCGACACGCGGTGGGCAACGTTTGGAGGGAATCGGCTCAGGGGGGACGCATCGACCCCCAGCGCCGCCCCGTGAGCGCCGATGCATAAACGGCCCAAGAGCCCCGCCCCGCCCGGGGGCAGAGCGGCATCGCTGGCGGGGGCTCATCGCCGATCACTCGGCGAGGCACTGCCGATGTCAAGGTCGATGTTTTTGTGCCTGCCTCGGCCAGTCCCCTGCAGACATGTTTCTGGTGAGCCCAGAACGTCCGTTACTCAGGAGGGGGAATAGCACACAGACGCTATTCAGCGTCGACTCCCAGGAGAAGAGTGGAACGTGTAGAAATCTGGGAAGGAAGACGAGAACCCAGAACATGTGGGAACATATGGGAAGTCCTGGGATACATATCTATTTATTTGTGTGTCCCTGGGCCCCTTCAGTTCGCCCCCCCCCCCCCCCCCTCCGTCTACGCGGGGTGCGCCCCCCCCGTCACGGAGGGGGAGGAGGAGGAGACGGAGGAGGAGCAGGAGGAGCAGGAGGAGAGAGGAGGAGGAGGAGGAGGAGGGGAGGAGGAGGAAGGAGGAGGAGGAGGAGGAGGAGGAGGAGGAGGCGCCGTGTTCACAGGCATGGCGTGGTGCTGACAGGCCTCGAAGGGTCTCCAGAGGCCCCCTGCCTTGGCTCCTGGGGGGCGTTCCGCGCCTCGGGTGTGCGTGCCAGCGGGGGCCCGTGCAGCTGCTGGCCGTGCGCGGCCCGCACCTGCTGCGCAGTGCCTCTCGTGGGCTTCGTAGGCGACGCCTCCTCCTCCTCCTCCTCCTCCTCCCCTCCTCCTCCTCCTCCTCCTCCTCCCTGGCTGCCACCTCGGTCGGTATCGTTTACCCACTCCCCACCCCCATCCCCATCCCCTTCGAAACCCTCACCAGATCACCACCCCAGTCGGGGATGCACCCCTCGAAACCCGAAGGGAACGACCTGTGTCCCCATCTAGGGGGGTAAATCGACCAGTGGGGCCCAGGCCACGCCGCGGGGGATGGGGATCGGTTAAACGATACTCACTCGGGCGGAGCTTCAAGTTGTCGCAGCGCCTCGGTTTCGTGCAGTCGCGGCAAGCCGGACCCTTCGAGCTGGATAGGAAGGCCTCCGGAGACCTTTGGTGACCTTCAGAGGCGGCCGTCGTCATCGTCGTCGTCGCCGTCGCCGTCGCCGTCGCCGTCATCGTCGTCCTCGTCCTCGTCCTCGTCGACGTCGTCGTCTTCTCCGAGGGCCTCCTAGGCCCTCCAGATGCATCCGGAGAGCTGAGGCCTCTGGAGCCTTCTGGAGCCCTTCAGAGGTGGCCGTTTTCGTCCTCGTCCTTGTCCTTGTCCTTTACCTCGGTTTTGTCGTCGTCGTCGCCGTCATCGTTGTCGTGGTCGTTGTGATCGTCGTCGTCGTCGTCGTCGTCGTCGTCGCTGTCGTCGCTGTCGTCGTCGTTGTTGTCGTCGTCGTCGTTCTCGTCCTCGTCGTCGTCGTCGTTCTCGTCGTCGTCGTCGTTGTCGTCGTCGTCTCCGAGGGGCTCGGAGGGTCTCCAGACGCCTCCAGAGGCGGCCGTCGTCGTCCTCGTCCTTGGTCCCGTCCTCGTCGTCGTCGTGGTCGTCGTCGTCGTCGTCGTCGTGGTCCTCCTCGTCGTCGTCGTCGTCGTCGTCCGGCGCCCGCGGCTCTCCCCGCGGGGCACCTTACGGGCCCGGCCCCCCCTCCCCCCCATGGGGGCCTGACTTACCCACCCCCCCCGCCCCCCCGTTACGGAAGTGGGGGGCAACAAAAAAACAACAACAATGTAACCCGCATATCAGTGTAGTCGACGGTGATATCGATGGTGGGATCGATTGAGGGAGATGGAGAGTGAGACCGATCATGAGATCGATGGTGAGTGCGAACGTGGGATTCCGAAAGCGGCCCAGAACCTTCAATCGGGAATCCGGGAACCCAGCCGGCTACCGACATCCGCTCAGGAGGGTTTCCGCCGAACCTTTCAATATCCGCTAGGACGCCCTCAATGCAAGCGCTGATCGGAGCAAAGGCAATCTCATTGTGGGGGTCCGGTCCTATCGGGCCTCCACCAACCGTTTGGGACGACCCGGGCAACTTCGGGACGCTCGCGGCGAGGCGCAGCCGCCGGAGAGCACCCCGAGGCTGGCAAGCCACCGAGATCCAACGAGAACGCCCGAAAGCCTCAAGCCTCCAGCCTCGAAGCTTCGTTCCACCGAGATCCGACGAACGCGTCCGAAAGCCTCAAGCCTCCAGCCTCGAACCTGCGCCCCTCCGAGATCCAACGGGAATGTGCGAAATCCTCAGGCCTCAAGCCTCGACCCTTCGTCCACAACAACGCTGCCCTGTCGCACCCGGGCCCGCCACCCTCGCGCCATGGATCCGCTCGTGTTCCGGCTGCGGCTGCTGGAGCTCGCCACGGAGTACGAGAGGCTGCACGCGGCCGGACGCGAGAGCCCGCCCGCGGTCATCCAGGAGTGCGGATGTCGTCAGTCACGGCCAGACAGCACACACACATGTATGTATGTATGTATGTATGTATGTATGTATGTATGTATGTATGTATGTATGTATGTATGTATGGATGGATGGATGGATGGATGGATGGATGGATGGATGGATGGATGGATGGATGGATGGATGGATGGATGGATGGATGGATGGATGGATGGATGGATGGATGGATGGATGGATGTATATATATATATATATAGATAGATACAGACATACATACATTTATGCGGGGGCTGACCCGCGCCTCGTGGTTTGAGGTTGCGCTGCAGGTTTGAGCGCTGGTTGTCAGACACCGAGGGCGGGGGGGCCCGTTCGAGCGGAGACCCCCTCCGACTGCTCGGACCCATTGCCCATGCAGAAATCCGCCCTGACACATCGGGGGGTCGTGTAGCTGTGGGGGCCGGTTGCTACCCTGTCAGCGGGGGGAGAGGCGTTTTGCCGTTTTTCTCTGTCTGCTGGGGCCTTCCACGGGCCCCTGGGTTTCTCGGTCTGCTGTGTTGCGTACAGCCAACCGGCATATTGAGGATGGGCAACCTTCCCAAGGGTGCCCTTGCATTTTTACCTCCTCGTTTCATCCTTAGCTATTTTCGTTGGCCGCGCCCCGCTCGTGGAGCTTCGAAACGGCCTTCCAAGGCCCTTGCATCCTTATTGCGCATCCTTATGATACGGGCCGACTGTAATGGGTGGGCGGTGCACGGGGGGGGAAGACGGGTGCACGTTTTGTACCCGAAGGGGCATAAACAGGGCACGAACGGTGCACGTTGCTCCGCCCGCCATTCATCGCCCCCCCTGGGCAAGGCCCAATTTGGACCGTAAACAAAGCCGACCCGGGAGGAAGGCCTGGTCCAGGGGGAACGGCTCGGGGGCCCAGGGTCATCGAGAGTAAAATATTTCTGAATTTTCATAACACGATGAAGACCTGAAGACGTGTCCTCACTGAGGTTCCCGTCTTCGCATTAGGGATAATAATTCTGGGCGGTTTGGTTCGGTGCATCTGCAAAGAAGAACCCCTGTCCATCATGTTTTTTGCCCTCCGGACTTAGGTATCGTCCCAAAGGGTCAGGGGCCCTTTTTTGGGTTCATCACAGGGCCCCTTGCCTTCAGGACACCAGCCATTCTTCGTGCCAGGAGTCGGGCGAGGGACCGGTAGACGAACAAGTTGGGTTCGCTCAGGCGGTTGCGTCACGGGGGCGAGCGATCATTGCGCGGGGCGCTCCAGGAGGGGCCTCGCCTGCGAGGGGGTTCGAAGGGGTTGGCCTCTTTTCTCCGCGGCGGAGGGCGGCGGAAGTAGAACGAGGCGGCCTCCGCCAGCGGAAGCGGGGCATCAGGCCGGCGGAAGCCAGCGGAAGTAAAAAGTCAATTTGGATGTCTCACGAGGGGCCACACAAAAGGTCTACCGATAAACGGCGCACGATATGGCTATTCATATCGAGAGTGAAAACGGGTGTAGCGTCGATTAAAAAAAGGAAGTAAAAAGTTGCCCTCCAAGAGGTGGCAACATTTTTTTGGGTGCAGGGTTCCCAGCACCCGCCAAGAGGGGAGGGAGAGCAGGCGCACACTGTGTACCTCGCAGGGGTGCCCGAAAGGGTTGCCAGGGGGCCCAAAAAGGGGCACGAAAGGTGCCCGCTTCTCCCTCCCCCCTTACCGCCCCCCCTATAACGCAACGCCCGAGACGCATGACCTGTCCAGGAGTCCGCGCGGACTTCTTGGATCGGCGCTGGACCCCCCTCCCATGGCGCGTGGAGCGCGCCAGGGGAAGGGAGGCGCCGACAGGGGGGACCGGCGCCGATCCAAGAAAGCCGGGCGAACCTCTGGGAAAGGTGTCCAGGAGTCCGCGCGGACTTCTTGGATCGGCGCTGGACCCCCCTCCCATGGCGCGTGGAGCGCGCCAGGGGAAGGGAGGCGCCGACAGGGGGGCCCGGCGCCGATCCAAGAAAGCCGGGCGAACCTCTGGGAAAGGTTGTGCTTGTGGCGTGTTCCTCTCGCCTCGTGCCGCGTGCAACACCACCAGGCCTCCGTCCGGCCCGCTTCGGGGGCCATGTCCCGGTGTGCACGTCTTGCCCTGCGATCCGGGCGCTCCGCGGCTGCGTCCTGGTGTGCGCGGCACCGCGGCGCCCAGGCCTCCCCGTGGGAGCGGGCGTGCACCACGGGCTGGGCCCCGGGGCAGGCGCCCCGGTGCATGCCCTCCGCCCCCGCCAGGAGCCCCCCAAGACGGCCCTCCGGCAGATCAGCTCGGGCTCGGACGTCCTTGCCAGGGCCGCGCCTGGCCGCGAGAGACCTGCGCGGGTGCCCCCGAGAGACGCCTCTCTGGCCGCCGGCTGAGCCCACGCCACCTGCCTGGCGTCGGCGGCGACTACATAAGGGCGAACGGCCCAGGGGCGGCGCGGCGGGCGCTACACGCATTCGCCGTGGAGCCTCGCCGAAGACATGGATCCTTGGCGCCCCTGGATGCATGTATTGCCCTCCCCCTCCCGGGCTATTCGCCCCTGTCGTCGCCTCCGACGGCAGCGCGCCTGCGGGGTGGGGCAAGGGGGGTGGCCTGTACTGTACTCGCTTCGTCAGGAGTCAGAACGGGAGGCTCTGGCCTCTGGGGGCCCTCGCTGGGACCGGGGACCGTAAAGCAGCAAGAAGATTCGGGATGGAAAAAGCCCCCAGGGAAAGGGTCGGGGCTTCCGAGGACCCCGCGCTGCAAATACACGACGCCGCACCTGGTGGGAAGGCGGGGATGCTCCCAGATGGGCTCGAAGAGGCCTCCCAGGAGGCTTCCCGGAATTGAGGCAGAGGGGGAAGGAGGAGGAGGAGGGGGAGGACGAGGAGGGAGAGGACGGGGAGGAGGAGGAGGAGGAGGAGGAGGAGGAAGGAGGAGGAGGAGGAGGAGAGGAGGGGGGAGGAGGGGGAGGAGGTGGAGGAGAGGAGGAGGAAGAGGAAGAGGAGGAGGAGGATGAGGAGGCGGAGGATAGGAGGCGGAGGAGGAGGAGGAGAGGAGGAGAGGAGGAGGAGGAGAGGAGAAGGAGGGAGGAGGAGGAGGAGGAAGAGGAGGAAGAGGGAGGAGGAGGAGGAGGGAGGAGGCGGAGAAGGAGGAGGGAGGAGGAGGAGAGGAGGGAGGAGAGGAGAGGAGAAGGAGGAGGAGGAGGAGAGGAGGAGGAGGAGGAGAGGAAGAGGAGGAGGAGAGGAGGAGGAGAGAGGGAGGAGGAGGGGGAGGAGGAGGCGGAGGAGGGAGGAGGAGGAGGAGGTTTCTTCTGCTGACTTCTGGAGGGGCGCCACTGCCTCGCCGACGACCGTCCTCTCGTACAGTAAGGATGGGCAACCTTCCATAGGCTATGGGGTTGACCCAAAAGGGGGTCCAGCGACAAGGGATGGTGCAATAGATTTGGTGCAATGGATTTGTGGGGTTGCAATAGATTTGGGTCGTGCAATACATTCCGGGGCGCAAATGAATTGCTGGGCTCATGGTGCAATACGATTCTCTTGCGCAATACATTTGCAATACAATTGCCCCACATATTTTGCATCACCCCCTTTTAGCTGGACCCCTTTTTGGGGCAACCCGGAAGTAGGGATGGGCAACCTTCCCAAGGGTATGTTTGCATCATTGCCCCTGTCGCCCCATCTTTAGCGATTTTCGTTGGCCGCGCCCCGCTCGAAAAGCTGCGAGATGGGCGTCCGAGGCCCTTGCGTCCTTGATAATACGTGCCGACTGTACAATGGATGTGGTTACGCCAGATTGTGGCTTACGATCTGCGCCGTTGGGGCTTAGGGGTCACCACGATGCGCCAAAGGTTTGAGGAGCTTCTCGTCAGGGACGCGGAGATCTCTGTCGAAGTCCTCGTCCGCCGCCCCCCCAACGGCTTGCAAGGGGCGATCGCTGCACAGGATTGGGAAACTGGTTGAAATTCAAAGTCTGCAAAAGTATGAACAATCTGATGTCAAGTATGCTAGGACACGCGGACATATCAAACTGCATAGATGTAATGTTTATCATTGGTTGTTATATCTGTATGTATTATTTTGTATATGTTGCGTGTTGTTGCTATGTGTGTGCGTGTGCGTGTGTGTGTGTGTGTGTCGCGTTGTTTCTGTGTGTTGTATTAGCGTTTTGTTTCCATGTTTCGGCTGGACGAGCAGAACTGTGATGCACCCATGCGTCGAGCTCATTAGTTGTGCTATAACTTCCTGAAGCCCAAACGTGTTAGCTCATAAAGGTCCACCCATGCGAGTCCCCCCTATCACGGGGCAGGGCTGGGAGGGCGTGGGAGCTGGGGTGGGGCGCAGGGGAGGGGCACGGAGGGCGAAGGGCGAAGGGAACGTTGGAGGAGGGAGGAGAGGAGGAGAGGAGTGATATGGCCAGGGGGTGCGGCTGGAGGAGGGAGGAGGAGGGGGAGGGGGAGGAGGAACGAGGCCCACTCCCGAGCTCCCTCGGGGTCGCGCGGAGAGGAGGAGGCTCGCCCAGGTGCTCCCCGGAGATCGCGCGCAGTGTTCGAGCCGTCTTGCGTCATTGCACTTGAAATCTTCGGGATCGAATGTTTACACATACCACAACACAATGACAACATTCGGAAACGCAGCACATATGCAAACATATTGCGCGCTGGGAACCGCGCGCATGTTTTGTATTGTTGGTGTGTACATTGTTTGCATGCCCATGATGTTCCTGGGGTGCACGATTGGCGCCCTAGAGGCTGCAGGAGTTCCAAAGGTTCAGGGCCCAGGGTTCAGGGGTGGCCTGAGAGGGTTTCGGAGAGGATCGAAGGGCGCCGAGATACAGGGCCTTGTAGCGCTGTGGCGGTCTCCTGGCCTGCCAGCTCCTGCGGGGCCATCCTTTCCTCTTCTGTCTCTTCTGCCTTCTCCCCCTCCTCCTCTCCCACTTACGATTCCACATCGTGAGTGACTGCTGCGTCCCCTGCTCCCCCGAACCTCCGCCTCAAGCATAACCCGGCGGCAGCGTGCTCTACCAGCTGGCGTGTGTAAGTCACGGGCCCGCTGCGCTGCCGCTTGCGCGCTTTCCCCGGTGGTCTGGTCCCTTGTGAAGTTTCGCCGACCTGGAAGTTGGACTAAACTCATACTGAGTTCAGTTTTTGGCATGTCCACTTTGGTCGGTGTGGGGCACGTTTCTCTGCCAGCGGATTTCAGCATGTATGGATGCCTCTCCAGCGCGTTGCCCATTGCAAGCCAAGGCGCGGGTTGCAAACCACACCCTTTGCAAACCACACCATTCGGAACCGCCGACTGCCGGTCCCCTCTGTCCCCCCGCGGGGGACGCGGGGGCAGTGAGGCCAGAACCCCGACGTCCGAGACGGCCTTTGGAGGTCGAAGATGGCCGACAAGTCTCCGCCTCGAGTTTGGTCGCGCCGCGACGGGGTCTGGGGGGAGCGTGGGACGGCTGTGTGTGTGTGTGTTTTTGTCTTTCGGCCAGCGCAGTCACTCGGCCTAGCCGCCGACGTAAAAAGTGTGTGTGTGTGTGTTTGTGTGTTGCGTTCGCGCTTGTGTGCGTGTGTATCTGCGTTTCTGTTTGTGTGTTGCGTTTGTCTCGCACGTCCTGACCCGTCGATCTCAACGAGGCTCGACCTCATCTGCAAAGTTGGATTCAAGTTGCGCCCAGGCGTATACGACGTCTTCAGTTGCTCCATGGGGTCCCTGGAAACCCAAACTCCGATTCGATTCGACTGCGATGGCTTCCGATTCCGATTCGATTCGACTTGGGATTCCGATGGGGATTCCCGTTTCTCAACGGGGCATTACTATTCTGCCGATTTTCGCCGATTCGACTCCTCCCGACTTGGCTGCCGATTTCCGCCGATCTGATTCATTTCGATCGCCGATTCGAATGATCGATTCGAGTCTGGGCCCTCATGACTACTCTGACGGGACCCGTTATTATTCCTCGCGACCGTATTTCAGCATCGTTCAACCGATCCCCATCTCCCATTGGAGCATGGTATGTCGGCTCCGCCTGCCCCGCGAAACGCGCAGGCGGCAGCACATATATTTTGCCCACGCAGGTAGTTCGGACAGTAGAGCCAAAGCCACGCCAGTCGGGATAGGGATCGATCAAACGCCGCCCAGCTTCTGCTCATCGCGACCGTGCTAGGATGCAACTCCTGGGAGGTTAAATGCTGAATCGGCGCTGGTATTTGTCTGGTCGAATACTGGCCTAATCTGGTGGGTTATTCCCGCTGGATCCCGCTTCATCCGGCTTAGTCCCGCCTGGTACGGATCAATCCCGAGTTTGATTCAGAACATGTGTTACCCACCCCGCCTTCGCTTCCAGACAAAACTTAGTCATACCACGCGCCTCGTCGTACAGCGGCATGATTGGTGCGGGCCGTAGCTTGGTATCGTTTGGTATATTCGGGAAGAGACCTCTCAGGCGTTGCCTCCGAACCCGGGGTGCCACGCCGCCCACGGACCCAGAAAGTGTTCCCCCGCAGGTGTTGGTGCTGGATCCCACCTTCGCGAGCGAGGCTCAGAGGAGGAAAAGGTACCCATACCGCTACCCTTTGCTCGTCTTCCCCATGTTCGGCCCACTGGGAGGCCCTCGTCGCCACCACTGGATTCGCCTCGAAACTCTGGTCAGAACGCACCCTGGGAGAGGTCCGTGGAGTAGCCGTACTGGGAGGGAGGGAGAGGGGGATCGAAGAGGATGCAATGCCACAGACATGATTTTTGGGCGCTCCGCGCGGATTTCTTGGATCCGCACTGGGCCCCCCCCTAGTGGCGCCTCCGTGGAGTAGCGGTATCGGTGCTTATCCCAGACACGTGACGTCCTGATTTTTTCAGGGCGGCGTCCCTTGAAGTCCCGACCCTTTCTCTAGGGCCCGTTTTTCATCCTGAGCCGTTTTTTGACAGTCCCAGCGGCCGGCGAGGGCCCCCAGAGGACGAAAACGGCTTAAGCACCTCCGCCTTGATTTTTTTGTTAAACGCCGCGGGCATGTCTGGGGCGGCGTCGGTGCCTCCCGGTTCCCCCCGGAAGGCGACCTGCGCAAGCGACGACGCCGACCAGGCCGCGCCCGGCGAGCCCCCGGAGCCCGACCGAGCGGCTGGCCGGGCAGGGCGGCGCCTCTCCCTCGAGGAGCGCCTCTCGGACGACAGCGCCCAGCAGCTCGGCAGCCTCGTGGGGGGAGCCCAGACGCCCAGAGATCCGACCTCGTGATTTTCTCAATGCGCGGTCCCCGGAAGTCTTGACCCATTCCCCAGAACAGGTGTTTTAATCCGGAGTCGTTTATTCACGGCCCCGAGACCCGGCGAGGGCCCCTGGGGGCCGAAATTTGAGAAAAACCTCCGTCTTGATTTTTTCAATACGTTGGACCTCTGGGCAGGAGCGCGTCGTAGAGATCGAAGGAGAAAACACGCCCCGAACAGAAACTTTTGGCGCTCCGCGCGGATCTCTTGGATCCGCGCCGTGGCCCCCCCGGCGGCGCCTCCGGCGCCGCCCCTGGCGCGCTCCGCCTCTCGCGCGCTCCGGCGCACTCCGCGCGCCTCCAGCGCGGATCCAAGAAATCCGCGTGGAGCGCCAAAAGTGTATGCTTGGGGCGTTTCTTTTTTTCCTCTAAAATGGAATCAGGGCGGGAGGTTCTTCCCAGGTTTCGGCCTCGGGGAGCCCTCGCCAGGCCTCGGGACCGTAGAAGAACAGCTCGTGGGATGAAGCACCGGTCCCAGGGAAAGGTTCGGACTTATCCAGGGGCCCCGCATGGAAAAAGTCAGAGCGTCCCATTCTGTTCGGCGGCGCCTTTGCGCGGTAGTCAGCGTTAAACCGAGGGCTTTTGTGGCGGCAACCGTGTTGCCAGAGTGTCCCGCTGTAGGGGTCGTTCGGCCATTCGCGCCAGGGAGCCCAGCTCCGCAAACGAACACTTTTGGGCACGCAAGCACCGATAATTTTGTCGGAGGATCTAAGCGCAAGGTCGGGTTTTTTATTGGCGTTTGCGACGGTGCCGGGCGGCTTTCCAGCGTCGGTTGAGGCGGGGCGTGTTCCGGGCGTGCCCAAATCGTTCGGAAAGGCTGCCGGCGAGCCGAGCTATGGCCCGAAGAGCGGTGGGCAACGCTTCGAGGGGGGATACACCCAGAGATCCAACGTATGGAAGAATCAAGCCGGAGGATTTCGACCCAGGGGCCCTCGCCGGGCCTCGGGGCCGTCAACAAAACGGCTCAGGATGAAAAGCTGGTCCTGGGGAAGGGGTCAAGACTTCCGGGGACCGCGCATGGAACAAATCACGATGTCGGATCCCTGGGTAGGCTCGGGCCGGGCGAAACGGGGGGGATTGGGAAAGGGGGGGGTACGAAATTTGCTGCATGCAGCTGGTTTCGGCCTCACCAAGGGGCCCATTCCTCGATACATAGCCGCCTCCGGCGCCGGGAGGCGCCGGGAAACTCAGCTACGTGAGCTGATTCTCAAACCCCCCCTTTGCTATCCCCCCCTTTTGCCCGACCCGGTAGGCTCGGGGGGGGGGAAGGGGGCCTCGGCCCCCAAATCGCCCATCATGTGGATCGGCGGCAGGGGCCCGACGGTTTCCCCCCCGCCCAGGAGCGCGCAGATCTGCGATCGGGGGCCCGTCGCCGACCTGAGGGTTCTGTCGGGCGTGTCCCCCTACAGGGGGATTTTCGACGAAAAATTCAAAAAATACGTTCAACATTTTCCAAAAAGGTCAAAAATATACAAAAAAAATCCCCAGATTATGTTTAGACTATTTTTTGCTATTTTGGATTTTTGCATTTTTCGTTGAAAATTCCCCTTTAGGGGGGCACGCCCGACTTAACCTTAGGGCCTTAGGGGGCCACATTCGAACCCTGACCCCTGCCCCCCACGGCTTCCGAGGGGGGGGGGGGCATTTCGTCCAGGAGTTCCCGAGCGAAATGAGCACACCCTTCCCGCTGAGAAATCGTGCGGGGTAGGGGTAGGGTTCGCATGTGGCCCCTTAGACCTATCGGGGGCGTATCGCCGATTCCAGGGTGATGTTCCCCTTCCCTGAGCCAGTCCCCCCCCCCCTTCCCTCAGGCAGGGCCGCGCCCCACCAGAAGCGGCGCCTCTCGCTCGAGGACCACCGGAATTAAAGGTACCGGCGTTGGCAAGATTTGCATCCACGACCATTGTGTCTCGGAGCTTCGGGCTGCCTTCCCCAGGCGCCAGATGCGGAGCAGAGAAGGTTATTTGGCCCTCAGGATCCAGAATTCTATCCATAAACTTGCGCCTCGGCCTTTTGGCGCCCCTTCTCAGAGAGACCAGGTCGCAGCGGATTTGGGTACGAACCTAGTCCGCAACTGATACCGCTCATTACCCTTCCCTCGCTTTCGCCTTTCTGGGTCTCCTGGGAGGCCCTCGACGCCGCGGCTTGCTTCGCCTCGGAATTCTGGTCAGGACGCACCCCTGGAGGTGTGGGGGGGGGGGAAGTCAGTCTCTGACAAACGAATAACGCACACACACACCCATTCCAAGAGGGGGGACGGAGCGGACTATGGGTGCGTGTTATCGGATGGGGGGTCCCCGCTCGTACCCAGTCCACCTCCCTCCGACACCCCCTATAGAAGGATATTCCCGAGTAGCTCTCTGACAGCTAAGAGGGCTTCATATTAGAAGCTGGCAGCGCAGGGTGGCGCGGGAGGTATTTCCGGCGCTGCCGCAGCACCTCGCCTGAACCGGCAGATTTTCCCGAAGGCGCTGTCCTACTCGTTCCCAAAACGCGTGTTTCAAGCCTCTCCGCAGTTCATTCGAAGCTCCCTGGGAGCTCCTCTCTCGAGCTTACAATCTCCAGACATCCCCTGAAGCGTCCTTCCAAGCGTTTCCCAGCTGCGCTTCACGCGCTGTGGATTGACCCGCGATCTGGGCTTAGGACGCGACAAGTGGGTGTGTGCTGCTCGCTCGACAGCGTCGGTCCCTGTTCTCTGACTCCCCGACGAGGAGCGCCCCTCGGACGACAGCTCCCAGCCGGCCGGCAGGGCCGGGCCCCATCAGCAGCGGCGCACGGGCTCCATCGAGAGCGACACCTCGACCGCCAGGGCGGCGGCGAACCCCTACGGCAGCGAGATCTCCGCGGGCTCTGCCTCCCGCCCTCCCCTTCGCCATGGCTCCACCCCTTCGCTTCTCTTCGCTTCTCTTCTCTCCTTCCTCCTCCTGCTGCTTCTCTCCTCCTCCTGAGAGTTGGCCGTGCGCAGGCAGCTTCGCCGTGTCGCGTTCTTCCCGTGCCGCTGCGCCTGCGAGGCGCGGGAAAGAGGTGACAGACTTGGGCCTGCAGGCCACCAACTTACGCCTGGCCCCCCTCCCCCTTCGCATCCTCCTCTTCTTCTTCCTCCTCCTTCTCCTCCTCCTCCTCCCCCTCCTCCCCTCCTCCTCCCCCTCCTCCTCCCCTCCTCCCCCTCCCCCCCTCCTCCTCCCCCTCCTCGTCCTCCTCCCCCTCCTCCTCCCCCCCCATTTCCTCCCCCACCTCCTCTCCCTCCTTCCCTCCTCCTTCTCCTCCTCCCTCCTCCTCCTCCTCCCCTCCTCCTCGTCCTCCTCCTCCTTCTCTCCTCCACCTCCTCCTCCTCCTCCTCCTCCTCCTCTCCCCCTCCTCCCCTCTTCTCCTCCTCCTCCCCCTCGTCGTCTCCTCCCCCCTCCCCCCCCTCCCCTCTCTCTCTCTGCCTCCCTCCCCCCCTCCAGTCCCTCCCTCCCCTCCTTCCCTCGGGGAGGATGGGGGCGCCGGCGGCGCACCCGCACCGGCCACTGCCTGCTGGCCTTTGGGCCCAGGGTCGGTGCGGCAGCCTCCCTGGCGCTTGGTCAGAACCCCGAATCATCAGGGGTAACTCGGGTCAGGGATAACTCGGGTTCCTTTTCCGGGAATCCAAACCCGAGTTACCCCGGACCCGAGTTACCCCGGATAATTCGGGCGCCCAACTTGGGGCGGAGCTCCGCGTGGATTTTCGGGTCGGCGCCGGGCCCCCCTGGCGCTAAGTCGGGCATGCCCCTCTGCAATCGGAAATTTGAGGATCAGTAACAAGATGGTCGGGTGACTATTTCTGGTGCTCTTATGATTTCTGTTATGACTGTGTTTTATCTGTCTTCCAGAATCCGAGCACTTTCTTTGGGTGGAGGGCAAAGGGTGGAACCTGAAATGCCGTTTCGATGGATTTATTTCTAGGCTTGAATCTTCCAAAGGTGAATCACAAGACGGATTGATTTTCGAGGTGCGTAAGCCCATATGGATTTCACCTTGAGCCCTCCACCTTAAGAACATACTCAGTAAATCTTCCTATTGCAGGACATGCCCGACCTCCTGCTGGCCTTTGGGCCCGGGGCCGGTGCGGACGCCTCCCTGGCGCTCGGGGGCGGGGCTCCGCGTGGATTTCTCGGGGTCTGCGCCGGCCCCCCGGGCGCCGCCCTGGCGCGCTCTGCTCGGGCGCCATAAGTTCGAGCAGGGGATCTACTATTGAATTGACTTGTTCCCAACCCTCCTTGGTTGGGTATTCGTTCTGAATCGAGCACTGTGGTCGCGTCCCTCCTCCTCCTCCTCCTCCTCCTCCTCCTCCCGCCTCCCGCCTCCCGCCTCCCGCCTCCTCCTGCCCTCTCTTCGAAATTGTCGCCACTTACGAGGGCTGCTGGTGGGTCCTGCGGAGTGAGTGAGGTCTACTATTGAATTGAATTGTTTTCTTCGCCAGAAGTGACTTGTTCGCCGACCCGGAGGAAAGCGTAGAACCCTCGTAGATCTACGATCGCGATGCGTTTTTGTTGTACGCGTTCGACGAGGAAATCAATTTCGGGGTTCTTCAATTCTGTAGGCGATCCCCTTCTCGACCCGCCGGTCTCCACGACGGCACCTCCGGCGCCGCCCTGGCGCGCCCCGCTCGGGCGCGCCAACATGCATGAACCGGGAGAATCGGGTGCCCTCCTCGGACCTTGCGGGCCCCCCTTCTGGGCCCCACGGGGCTGCCTCAGGGGCCCCACGGGGCTACCCATTTCCGCAGCCCGCGCTGCCCCCCCCCCTTCCACCCCCTCTCTCCCCCGCCATGACTTCGCCCCCCATCCGCGCGCCAGGGAGAGGGGCCAGCGCAGATCTAGGAAGTCCGCGGGGACCTCCGAACGTTGACGTTTGTGCCTTCTCTCTTCCTCCCATGCAGCCACGACTTGTTGCTGACCGTGTCGCGCTGCCGGTTCTGGCCCACCACGCTTCGGCGCGACACGCTGACCGCGTTCCAGTCCTCGATTTGTTCGCCCAGTGGTTCCCCGATCGACCGCCGAGAGCTTTTCCCAGCCCCGCGGAGTGGAGAGACACGTTAGCATCATAATGTTCCAGCCTATTTTTAGCCTTGACCACTAGAAACAATTCCGAGCACCAAGACAGCACAGGAAAACGGAAGGGTTTTCGCGTGCCAGGCTCCAGTCGGCGATACTCGTTCGACAGTGTTTCGATACTCTTCTGGGTGCTCGATTTTCTCTGAGATTTCGTCTTTAAGTACGATTAAGTCGGGCCTGTCCCTCTACAGGAGGAAAATTCCAAACTAGTCCAGAATTGTCAGGGGAAGATTTTTCGATTATGTTTGATCATCTTTAAGTATCTTTGGACTGTTGTTCTTTTTCGTCCAAAATCGGCCTGTAGGGGGACAGTCCCGACCTAAAAGTTCGATCGGAACAACACAACGTGCTCGCAGGGCATGCCGTGCCGCCGGAGCCGCCCCCGCGACACGCGGAGCGGAAGCTTCCGACCGCCTGCGCCGATCCGGGGCCCACGGGGCCCTGGTCAGGATCGGTGCTGGCTTACAGCCAGCGTTAAGTTCAAGTCGGGCCTGTCCCTCTACAGGAGGAATATGTAGGAACAAATGCCTTGGGACGACGATATATATATATGTGTATATAAACTATGTTTGATTTTTTGTTTTGAATGTTTTTAAGTTTTCACACACAATCCGCCTGTTAGGGGCATGCCCGACCTAATGTGAAGTCGGGCACGTCCCTCTACTGGAGGAATATTTCATAACAGTCCGAAGACGATTGTTCGACTATCGTTGGCAGTTTTGGGGTCTTTTTTAACTATGCGTTGCTTGTCTTCCAACGTCCGCCTGTAGGGGGGACATGCCCGACCTAGGTCTTAGCTAGCATCCTCCCAGGCTCGGCCGGGGAGGCGCTGACCAGGCGCCAGAAGAGAACCGTGACGTGGGAGAGCCTGGGATACAAGAGCTCAGGCCGTGGCTCGGGCCGCCACTCCTCGGTGATCGAGGGCAGCGCCGAGACGGACGCTACCCTCGCAACGATGGCGACCGCGAGGGGGCGGGCGCAGTTCGACATGGCCGTGAAGAAGTCGCTCAGCGACATGGGCGTGAAGATGTCGCTCAGCAGAGTCTCCTCGGGCGATCTGTCTGGTGAGAACAGCCGTCAGACTGTGGATGGGAGGCCTCTTGCATGGTTCGTGCAAAGCTGCGGCTTCTCGGTGGCATTCGCCATGCTGATCGTCATGAGCGCGATGTTGATCGGTATCGAGACCCAGCTGCTTTCCAGCCTGTCCTACCAGCGGGCCGCCTCGGAGCAGGTGTTGACTGCCCTGTCTGTGGCGAATTACGTGCTCACCTTCCTGTTCACGCTGGAGATGGCGGCGCGACTGTACGTGTTTCGATCCGACTTCTTTGTCCGGGAGAGAGTTTGGAACTGTTTCGACCTAGTCATCTTGGTCCTGGCCCTCGTCGAGGTCTCTCTGGAGCTAGGTATTCAGCTGCCTGCGGCAAGTCATGCCACCGTGCCAGCGCAGGTCTTTGAGTGAAGACTGTTCGAGGAGCGCACCTGAGGCCGTCACGTGTGTGGCTGTTCTGGGACATGGGGGAGTTTTAACATGTGACTCGGTGTTTCGCGCCGTGTCGGGCTGTCGTTCTTCGTGTTCGTCGTTGTCGTCGTCGTCGTCGTCTTCCATCCTCGTCTTCTCTCCTCCTCTCTTGGGGCTGGGGGCCTTTAGGAGGCATCCTTGGGACGTCGTTGGGGAATATTGGTGGCTGCTTGGGACGTCTGCTCTTTGGCAGTCCGGCGCTTTCGGAGTCATCCTCCTTGGGGCATGATCTCGGCCATCTTGGGGCCCTCTTGGGGCTCTGCAGGGTCGTCTTTGGGAGGCCTCTTGAGGGATTATCGGGCCAGCTTGGGTCCGTCTTGGCGGAGGCCTCTTGGGCCATCGCAAGGGCCCTGTGTGCCGTGTCGCGACTCTACGAGGCCGTCTTGGGCCATCTTGGGCTGACGGAAGGTAGAAAACGTGAGAGCGCGAACGTTGTTGAAACCTTGTTTTGAAGCAGCTGCGATCGGATGCCGGCGGTCCGCTTGGAACCCTCTTGGGTTGGGTCCCAATCCCCCTCTTGCGGGCCGGACGAAAGGGGGGGATTGGGAAAGGGGGGGGGGGGTACAATTTTGCTGCATGCAGCTGGTTTCGGCCTCACCGAGGGGCCCATTCCTCAATACATAGCCGCCTCCGGCGCCGGGAGGCGCCAGAAAAATCAGCTACGTGAGCTGATTCTCAAACCCCCCCTTTGGTTTCCCTCCCTTTCGCCCGACCCGACATTTGGGCCGCTCTGAGGCCATCTTGCGCCGTCCCGGAGGGGCATCTGGGGCAGTTCTGGCCGCCCCGGCTGCCTTCAATTGGCCGCCTCGGGGGCCTCGATGGGGGCCAGCACCGGAGAGGCGCCGGGCCGCCCACGGGCCAGCGCGTATAGCAAGGGGGGTGGTCGAGGCGCGCAGCGGGGCGCGCCCGGCACGGCGCTCGGAGCACGGTCAAAAAAACAATTCTACCGGGCAGCGCCCGGCGTTCTGCCACGCCTCCGTGGGGGAAACGTGTCAGGTTCGAGTCGGGGGCGGAAAAGAGGGGGGTGATGACTAGGGGGGGGTGGATATCATGGCTTGGGCCATGATATTTCCCCAGATTTCATGGCGCCTCTTCTTATTTCATTACGTCCCTGGCCACCCCGCTGGGCCGCGCACATGCCGCCGGTCATGATTTGCACCCCCTCTCTTGGACACCCCCCTCTTGGCCGCTCCCGATCGAGCAGGCTGGGACACTCGGGCTTGCCGACCACCGGTGAATGGCGCGCCCTGGATTCTGCTGACGGTCCGGTGCTCGCCGGATGCCTGCAGCAGGAGTTCGCGTCACAGTTCGGATGGTGTCTCGCCATTTTCATGATGGCCCCGTCCTTACTAGGCCCCGGAGACGGCAGGGCCGTTTTTCTGACCGTGTCCGAAAAAGTGTCTCTTGAACACGGAAACGGCAACAAAAAACTACCGGAAAAGGCAACAAACACAGCTGCAGGATTGGAATCGGAGCCAGAACCGGGAGAACAACGGCGACGGAGCCGGTCACAAGAACGCGGCGTCGGAACCGGCAACAAAGCAACAAAAACGGCCCAACGGAGCCGGTAAGCAAGCGGCCCTGTGCTTACTCCCAGGGCCCATTTTGAGGCCCCGTCGGGCCAGCCCGCGGCCCCCGTGCCCGAGTCGTGCGTCGCCCCGCCTCGGCGCGCCAGGGCGGCGCGGCGGCGGATGCGTGCGCTCTCGGGCCGGCCGCGCGGGACCGAGCTCGAGGGAGGGACGGCGAGGCTCTTGCGCCTCTTCTTGGCGGCGCGCAGGGGGGGTGTATAGGGGGGAGGGGGGCGCGGGCCTTAGCTATAGATGTAAGTAAGGCTGGCGCCTTCTGAGAAGCGGCCTCCTTCCAAGAATCGGGGAAACGTAAGACTCGAGCAAGCGGGGACTCGGGTTTGCCGAAGTTTTTTTGACGAGCGCGTCCTGGATTTTGACGGTCCACTTTGCGTGGGATGTCTGCAGCGGGAGCCCGCGTCAAATTTCAGATTGGGTCTCGTCATTTTTATGATGGCCCCCGTCAGGCCAATCCGAGTCCCCCGTACCCGAGTCTTACGTCTGCCTGAAAGAAGCCCCCCCCTCCCCGCACCCCCCTGTGCGCGCCGCCAATCTTCCGCCTCACTCGGCTGCTGCGCCTCGTCCGGTCGTTCCGCCAGCTGAAGCCCCTGCGGATGCTGGTGCACTCGATCCTGTTCGCCGGCAGGTCCGTGTTCTGGGCACTCACGCTGCTCTTCATGATCATCTTCTCCTTCGGGGTCATCCTGACGCAGGCTGCGACGGAGCACACTGA